ACATGTTCGAGTAAACACGAAGACCGGCACAAGCAGCTTCGTTATCCAGAAAGAAAATGCACAAGCGGTTCTTAAGGATATGTTGCCACGTAGCTTTGGCCACCACTACCGGCAGCAACTCTGCGAAGAAAACAAGCTGCTTAAGACCTTGACCTCTCCATCGCTGCACAAGATGATCTGGCACACGCTCCGCAAAGAACTCTTGGACGCCTGTAGCAGGATCCAAAAGGACTGCCCCGTGGGTCGTAAGAGCGCCGTCCTTTTCACAAGCACCGTCAGTGAAGACCAGGATGGGTGGGGCCTCGCCCCACCTAAGGACCTCACGAGGACCTGCCTCGCTGAGAACCTCCAGGGCTGGCCTTGCCGCCCTCAGCACATGATCCCGGGCTTCTTCGGGTCTAGCAGCCTTCAACGCCTGGCCAATGAGCTGGGTACAGATCTGAGCACACCTGCCGAAGACATGGCTCGTTGCGAAAAGCATCCAACCTTTGAAGGATGCGAGTGTGTCAAGTCTGAACCCTGGGTCCGACTCCATCTGAAGAAGAAGCTTCCAAAGATCAGGCAGCCGTTCCTGCTTGTTAGAAACCTCAATCACACCTTGCATGGAGCGATCAAACGACACGGTCACACCGAGGATGTTGAACGCCCCGCGCAATCTCCCATCCAAGGAGAGCCATGAATCGTTCGGCGGCCTGAGCCGCTGACGCCTCCAAGCCTGAAACCTCGATCTGGCAGAAGTCCTCGTAGTAGGAAGTATTGATTATCCACAGCAGTCTGGACATAGCAAGCTTTAGCGACCTTGCGGCACGATTAAACTCTGTCAGGGCGCTGATCCCTCCGAATGGAAGGGCCACCGCCTCGAAGAAGTAAACTCTGTCATCCTCTGTCATCCTCCGGGCATAGCACTGAAAGCACGGTTGCCCACGCATCCTCTGGATGCCGCGCTAGCTGCTTGTAGGCACAAAACTATATAGGAAAACAAAAACTTGTACCGAGAAAACTCTGTGTCGCACTAAAAGGCTACAGAGAAAGCAGGAAGTGAACCTTCGGAGTGTTGGGACTGCTCCAAGTCCAAGACATCGTGACCAGAGACAAGCTTCCAGCTCGATGATGGTCCGAGCCCGGAGCTTCGCGTGAAGCGGCCAAGGGGCCGTAATCCGCGGGGGGGAGACAAACATCGATAATACCAATCGTTCTCAGGCTGCATGTTCTTTTTACGTTTTCCAAGCCATTTGCCAACTGACTATTTGGTTATCCTGCCGAGTCGTGAGCTGCCTCCGTGTCCGATCCAACACCTGAGGCAATCCAGTGCATGCCAAAGCTCCGGAGCGCATCTTTGGTGCCGTGACGTGCTTTACCAATTTGGCTACTAAGTTTCATCACGACATGAATAATGATTCCATGATTCCCGCTTTGATAACTGGATATTCCCGCTGTCCTGCTTCCAACAAGGTTGCATGTGGGTGGAACGTGACCAAGGTCCGGTGTCCAAGTTCGCATGTGGCAAGAAGCGAGACGGTGTGGTTCTCGATAGCTATACAGGGGAGGCCCTTTCCAACGCGT